CACACACATATATACATATATATATATATATATATACACATCTACAATATTTATAAATAATACTTATTTATATGATTATTATTTTACAAGAATCATAACACCATTTATATTCTGTGGACAAGATGTATAACTTTAATTTTCACACCGAAATGCACCATGTTATATCTTATTTTACGAAAAGATAAAAATAAAAACATTTTCTTGTTCAAATTCTATGTTTTATAATTTATTATGTCCATTCTCTATGTGAAGATAATGTATTTCAAGCTGTGTAAAACAGTATAATTTGCATAACATTCTTGACTCAATCGGACGAAGCAACGAGAAATATTAATGCTAGAAATTATACAAAAAATGGAACAGACTACTAAGAAAAACAGATCTGCTCTCATTTGGAGATTCCAATTTCCTCTAAAAATCGACACGGTATCGACAGAACGTCATCCGGATCGTGTCGATCCGAGGCGAGGCGAGGTGAAGCTGAGGTGAGGTGAGATGAGGCGAGGCGAGGCGAGGCGAGGCGAGGCGAGGCGAGGGTCCATAAGTCGATTCTCTCGCTACAGGGCGTGCGCGGTGCGCCGCGATGCAACGAGAACGACGTCGTTCGGCGCTGGGCGCAGCGGTGTGCGACGGGTGGCGGCGTCGTGGCGCGGGCGCTCTTTGGCCCTCTCCCGTCGCAAAGCCCGGGCCATCGCAGCAGCCCGGCGGCTCTCGCAGGATGTCGATGTCTCGCGCGGCGCGCCCTTCGGGAGGTGCCGAAGTGTCTTCGTACCTCGTATACACGCGCCACGATTGATCGCACTCCGTCCCCAAACTCCGAGATTTTGAGCAAAACATTCCTTCCTTCTTTTTATAGACGTCCCGTCCTATCTCCTGTCTCGTTCAACAAGTTTCACGATCTCTTCCTAGAAATTTTCTTTCGTAAAAGAAGAGAAAAAAAACATTAAAAGAATCCATCGACAGATCAGTAACAAGAAAAGGAAGAAAAAAGCGAGAAGTTTAGAAGCGCGCGTTTTTTTTTTCAGTTTCGTCCATCCTCCCTTCCAGATAGAAAAAAAAGTAGCGGCGTAAAAAAAGCTCGCGGGAAAACGCGCGGCCCGTACCGCGTACGCACCCTCAAAAAACGAGCCGCTCCACGTACGCGTATGCGTGAGAAACGCGTTGGTGCGTGTGTTTACAACCTGTGGGTGGTGCGGCAGCGGCGGCGTTAGGCACCTATTACGGGATATGGATTCGCGGTGGACCCGGCTGGAGACGGAAGATTGCAGATGACGAGATCCTCGACCGCGTGCCCGGCGAGAGGAGGCGCCGAATGAAAGTGAAAACGAGAAATTGCACGGTGGGCATTGCGATGCGAGAGGGAGGATGCGTCGCCCTCGGGAGAACAACGAAGGGTGCTGGGAAGATGAATGCCAAAAGGCGACGAATGCCTTGAGCTCTCTCCGTAAGTGCCCTTTCTTTCCCTTCTTCTTTCGCCGACTCTCTTCGAGCGAGACGAGCGAGACGCGCCAAGTAAGTCGCGGCATTCGCGACATTATTGGAGGGAAAAATTGACATACTAATATACATTTATCAACTCCCGCTTTGCGTTAAATAAACGCGAGTGTTTCGTAATTCGATTTCTGTGGCTCGAAATCATTCGCTACATTGAATCATGAGATTATCAGGATTATCAGGATTAGCTGAATTATTTATGATACGTTGCACGAAATTTTAAGGTAGCATCGCAAGATCGATCGAACGGTAGATTATTCTTGAAATAGATGGCCGAAATTTGCTGAAGTATTTTTGGGCCGCGATCTGAGATTGGTTTTTACTTTTAGATAGAAATATCGTGACCTTAATATTATGTATTTAAAATGAATAACTCAATGAATGAAATACTAAAAGAATGATTTATAGATACAGATCGGAAAATAATTTTGTTGAACCATCAAAATAATTGTATTTTAGGAGGAAACTCATGCATGAGTATGAATGCTGTCCAAAATTATTCTAACAACTAGTTTGAGCGTCATATAATTATTTTAATAGTCTAATTAAAATAAAATTATTTTTAGATCTATATTTGATTTTTAGATACTTCAGTTAAACCGTGAAGATCCTTCGTCAAAGATAATTTAAGTTTTCTAACTTTATTATCAATAAAGTTTTCATTTAAATTCACTCTAATTCTGTTTAATAAGATTTTGAAATATTTCTAATATAATATAATGAGAAAATATTTTCAGTTTTATAAATGCTAATCGAGCAATTATTTTTCTACGTTAATTCCGATGTTGTGATAACTTTCGACCTATCATTTGCCGACGTTTATATTTCATTCCGTTGCGTGCTTTATTGCGTGCATCTAGTAACGAAAGACGTATAGTTTAGATAAAAACATCGCGAACGCAACATCGCCGGTGCAAAAAGGCAATGAACTGCTACGCGATATGAATAACGTTGGAGTGGAAAATACTCTACCTTTTCGCCGCACGCGACGGAAGCGACGGAAGCGACGGAAAATCGTTGCCACGGAATTCTGGGAAAACAACAAATGTACCAGAGAAGATAATATTAACACTGTATGCTAGATATAGTATCTTCGTATCGATTCCTGTAAACGTAATCTTTCGGCCTCACTATACTGATACCGTTACAATCGTCTTTTCATTGTGTGCATTTAAATATGAACGCTGTCGCAATGTATTTCCTTGTATTTAATTTTGATCACTTATTTTATCCAGCTATTTATATTTTCATTGAAAAAAAAATATATACATTTATTCTTTTGTAAACAAGAACTGCATAAAAAAAAAAATGTTGGATCATCGACATTTTTTTCGGATCTTTATCAAATTTTTAGATTTGAGCAAAATCATTAATTCTTTCTATGAATATAATAAATAACGTTAAGCGAAAAGTTGAATTTCTTAATAGCGTTAAAGCTCAACTTCTTCTTCATCTTTTAATTCCTTTATAATCAGTAATTTTTTTACTTTTCCAAAAACTTTTTGGAAACCGGAATTTCTTAATAATTGAAGTAATTTTAATTATTATGATAAATAAAAAAACAATATAGAAAAGTAATTATATAAAATTCTTGATAATTCGCGATCGACATTATTCTGTCGCGAAACTATCTGTGTTACTGTGGTCGATCCGAAATATAGGCGTCTGACCCTACATTTTATTTCTGCTGTGCCTAGTGTTTCCTTAATGCGCGCGGGGAGTCATTTTGATGGAGAAATATTCGATGCCACGTATACCGGCCATAAAACGTTCGACGAACGGGAGGGTTCGTCCTGGAAATGGCGTTAGGGACGAGCGGGAAGAATGTTCATTGACGTTAGAGACCCCCGTATCCTGGCAAGGAAACGTTTTTACTCTGGTCTGACTCATTCGTAGGACGACAAATGTCCTTTGAAAATAGCAGGGCATTGTCTTTCTTCGCAGCGAGTAAACGAATAAACCGAGCTGCATGATATGATTTTAGTAGTTACCCTTAACTCCTTTCCAGCCAGTATATTTTCCAAAACTGGAAGCTGGATTCATTTGAAAGAATCATTTGATTGAAAAAAATTTACCTGTTACAAATCCAAACAGAAGAAATGTCACATTACAAATATCAGGCAGTGAATGTTAAAGTTAAAAAAATCTTTTAAAATTCATTATGTGTATTTTAAAAATTAATTGAATATTTTTCATATTTAATATTTTAATATTTGACATTTTAACATTTAACATTTTAAATATTTGTAAAAATATAAATAATTAAATTAAACATTTTTTAATAAAAAAACCGTATATATTTTCATATAAAAGTAACTTAATATTTTTTTTTTTATATTATTGATATGAAAGAAAGCCTTTTTATTTGATTTAAAATGAATTCTGGAATTTATTTTGATTAAAGAACATAAAAATATAAAAAGTATACTATTAATCTATATACTATTAATCTATAAGTCTTAATAACGTAATAACGTAATATTACGTCAGATATAGTATTACGTCAACTGCAACTACAATTTATAAAAAGATAGTATTACGTCAGCGGCTGTTAATTTAACTCAATTGTTATTTACATTTCGGGCGATCATATGCTTGTCAATATTCAATTAGTAAATAAATGCGCGCGTAAAAGCGAGCTGGCATTCTTCAATTTCCTCGTTATCGAAATACGAAAATGTGACGTTTGACAATGATTTAACAATTACATTATACGCGAAGCGGTTCGAATTTGGAGAAGTGTAATCACCGAAGACTCGGCAGTAACTTTGGTAAGAGTAATTATGTATTCCCCGTGCACGTAGTAGCGTCTTAGCGAGTATCTTGTTACTTGGCTAACAACAACTCTATGCACAGCGAGCTTATCTATAAGACTTAGAAACAACACAACTAAGCGCCTAAGTACATAAATCCGCTTTTCCTAAGATAAATACTAACTCCGCGATATATGTTTTACACGTTGTACTCGCGTCAATGCATTTTAATTAACTTTGCTGATAAAATCTACAAAGCTTTGCTTCATATCTCATACATTAATAAAATGTCATGTTATATACGTAATGTAGAAATCGACTCTAATTATCGATTCTGCAGCAGCCGCGGGATAATAATCGCCGTGGCTCATAATTATGTTTTACAATTTCGATTGAAATTATCACTACGCTGCGAACAGAATAATTAACTCGAAGAGAACCAGATTTAATTTTCTATTTGACGTAATTAATTTCCTACAAAGTAGATCCTTGCATCTTATATATAATTAAGAATATTGAAGTTCGCGCTTCCGAAATTGCCCGGCAGCGTCAGACATAAAGAAAGACAGAACGAAGGTTCTTTACATAAATGTTAACATAAATGTTAAACGTAAATACATCGTAGTATTTTATATTGGCCGAGAGATGAAAAATAATTTTTCATTTATTTTATATTCATTATTTAAGAGACAGAATCTCAGTGAAAAGGTTAAACAATTTTGCTTTTGAAGAATATACGGAAAGAACGGTTTTGCTAAAGTATCTAACTATTAATCTATATAGAAATAGATCTCTGAAAATAATTTTGTTGAAATAATCATTAAGCTGATTTATAGAATATCAAAACTTTTTATCAAAATATTGCTTATTATGCTTGAGCATCTCATATAATTATTTTGATAAAATTATTTTCAGATTTGTATCTAAATTTTTAAATAGTCCAACAAAATAGTTCTTTTCGTGTAGGAAAAATTAAATATTAAATATTTATAATCAATTATTAAAAGTTTATAAATAATAATAAATTAATAAAAAGTTTTTTTGTATAATTAGTTATGTCCTATTTACATGTCATATGAGTAAATGTCTTTGAGGCAAAATTAATTTCACAGTGATATATGCACGCTTGAGCGAAAGGTCTTAAAGAGCAATTTTTTCATCAACTACCCCGGAAATTCTTCGATGACTAATAATCGAGATAAGCATTGCAATGAAAATCATACGCCATCTCGGCGTGCACTCGCGCGATCGTCTCTTTTGCGAAGGGATAAAGAGAACGCCTTTGATATCTGGGGGTTGTCGCTGGAACGAAGACCACGCGCGTTCACCAACTCTTTTCACGGGAATATTTTCGCATCGCACGGTTAAAAGCAGCCCTCTCGCTTCCTCTTCGCGCAAAAAGCAAGGAGGAAGCGCGGCATTGGGGTGATCTGTCTCTCAAGGGCCGATTCTTTCAGGCTGCAAACCCGGTGGATTGTGTGCGCAAGGGCCTACCCTCTTTAGAATTCCCCGTCCGTAAAGGAGCGAAGAGCTCGTGTCGAAGACAAAGACGAGGGGGTGAAAGGAGTGAGGAGAGGCGCGAGGGAGAGGTGTTTGGGGACTCTCCGAGAGGGAGAGGTGCGATTGAGGGGAGGTGAAAAAGCGAGAGGGAGATAAGAAGATAAGGAAAATGGGCGAGAGCTCGCCGGATCTCAGCCTCCGGCTACGCCAGGGCAGTTCCGACTCCAGAGATTCCTTCTACATGGACTTCGCACAGGTACGCGGGAAAAGAGGGGAAGGTGAGACATCTTGTAGATTAAAAATCATCTGTCTTGAGTTTGAGCCAAGGGTAATTACCCGGAAAGATTTCGGCGCAATGCGAATTACGAGACGAGTGAAATCCTTAACCCGCCATTTCACTTATGACGGATTATTACGAAAAGGGCATAAATTCATGGATTTTCTACCCTTTAATACATTTTTTAAATCTTGATTACATTATAAAATAAGAGAAAAGTCTGATAGCTACCAAATGTATTTTATATTCAATCAAAAATTAAAATTCAGAAAAAATTTAGAAAATTAAAAAATTTTAGTTTGTCCAATTTTTATATTAACCAAATATAATCGAAATTTTTTACTAAAACATTTAGTAATTATCATGCTATCTATTCTTTACGTACTTGTTAATTGATGTGGAGCGACAGAAGATAATTTCTAAAACGTGAATGTCAGAGCTTAATAAATTTCTATTAAGTTATACTTGGAGTATTTATATCCGATATTCTTCTAAAATCGAGTTAAAGCGCAACGATGTGTCAATAACTGAAATATCACTTCAATGAAGCCACATGCAACGGAGCCTCAAAAACAAATTCAATATCCTTGTAAATATCTTCAAAAATAGCACAATTGTAAAATTGGCTGTTCTATGGGAAATGGGTATAAATTATGTATTCTCGATTAAAGTCTCCATTAAATATTTACTCTGTTCACGTGTCATTTCATATTTGATGAATGCAGCGCTTTTTTATTGCTATTGATTTACTAATATTGCCCATTTAATGAATATTTTTTAATTTTACTAAAGTACTGGCTGTAATTTATGCGAGAAACATTTCAATATCCTAAAAAATTATTTTACTGAAAATAAGATGGATCCTTTAAAATGGCGCCGATTATAGTAACATATACCTCCTAATTCTATTTCACAGGGTATCGATTCCGATATCGAGGAAGTGACGCGGCCAGGCGATAATAATTCCGATCCCATGCTGGAAAATCATCTGGAGGAGAACGGGAACGATTTACCACCGATTGAGGATATTACGACGATCCCCGAGGAGGCCTCGGAAGAATTAAGAGAGGAGGAGGAAGCGGCCGCATTGGAGGCCGCACTTAGAACGCCAGACGGTGGCACGATTAGCACGGAAATCGAGAAACCGTCGACTGCATCGCTCATGCAAGAGTGAGTACAGAAAATGCCTTTACCTTTGCTACTAAGTACCAATCATTCTATAATGCACGCCACTCGAGGCATGTCTCATTTACTTCCCCCATTGCTAATTTTCGCGATCGTCAACGTGCCTCAAGAACTTCTTGACTAAAAAATTGGAATAAGCAGTGAACACATAAAACGAATAAACAGCATTTTCGCAGCAAAATAATCTTTAACAAGTAAGTGAAGAAGAAGTCTATGTTCAGTTGAAGTAGACATTGGTGCCTAATAATATTTTTACATGACTGTTATAATTTTCGGTTCAAACAAATTGCGCATCAATTTATCAGGCTTGAATTAATAAAGTCTTAAATTGAAGCTGAAGTACTTAATATATTATAAATTAAATTAACAA